TTAACACTCGATATGGGTATTACGAGTTTGCGGTGATGCCTTTTGGATTAACTAATGCCCCAACAGCTTTCATGGATTTAATGCATCGGGTGTTTAAACCCTATTTGGACCAACTTGTAGTGGTATTCATTGACGATATTTTGGTGTATTCAAAGACTAAGGAGGAGCATGAGCGACATTTGAGAATGGTATTGCAAACCCTAAGAGAGCATCAACTGTTCGTCAAATTTAGTAAGTGTGAGTTCTGACTAGAGAAAATATCATTTCTAGGCCACATAATCTCAAAAGACGGACTCACTGTGGATCCGGCTAAAGTTGAAGCTGTTGCCAAAAGGAAACAGCCGGAAAATCCTACTGGGATTCGTAATTTTCTGGATCTAACAGAGTGTTATCATCGATTTATAAAAGATTTCTCAAGAATTGCAGGGCCTCTAATGGATTTGACAAAGAAGCAGGGTAAATTTATTTGGGGCACTAAATGTGAAGCTAGTTTTCAAGAGCTTAAGAAGCGATTAACCATGGTGCCAGTGTTAGCTCTGCCAAATGGGAAGAATAATTATACAGTATATACAAATGCTTCGATAGAAGGTTTGGAGTGTGCTTTAATACAAAATAGGAACGTAATTGCCTATGCCTCTCGGAAGTTGAAACCTCATGAATAAAATTATCCGACCCATGATTTAGAACTCGCAGTTGTTGCTTTTGTTTTGAAGACATGGTGGCATTACTTGTATGGGGTGACTTTTGAGGTATATATGGACCATAAAAGTCTTAAATATCTGTTCTCCCAAAAGGAATTAAACCTGAGCCAGCGTCAGTGGATGGAGTTTTGGACGATTATGACTGTACCATTAATTACCATCCAGGAAAAGTTAATGTAGTGGCAGATGCCCTAAGTCGGAAAGCTCAACTAGTGGGTTTAATGATAAGAAAATGGAACCTGTTAAAGGATGTTAGTAAATGGAACCCTCGCCTCGAGCCACAGACAGTTATCTTTGGGAATATTAAAGTGCAATCGACATTGTTGGATCGTATTAAAGAGGGACAAAATAAAAAACCAATGGTGCAAAAGTGGTTAGAAAGGCTACAAAAATGAGAGTTACCCGACTTCAATCTAGGTCCTGATAGAATTTTACGGTTTCAAAAATGAATTGTGGTGCCAAGGGATGAAGAACTAAAAAGGGAAATCTTAGAGGAGACTCATCGATCTAGGTATACTGTGCATCTTGATAGTGATAAGATGTACCAAGATCTCAAAAGACTATATTGGTAGGATAACATGAAATCAGAAATTGCCCAATTTGCTCAATAATATCTTACTTGCTAGCAAATAAAGGCCGAGCATCAAAAACAGTCAGGATTGCTACAGCCTCTGGAAACACCTGAGTGAAAGTGGGAACATATTACTATGGATTTTATGTCAGGTTTGCCATGAAGTCAACGAGGTAATGACGTGGTTTGGGTGATAGTGGGCCGATTGACTAAATCAGCACATTTCTTGTCAGTTAATATGAAGTATTCTTTGAAGAAACTTGCCAAACTCTATATGGATGAGATTGTGAGATTGCACGGGGTACCAATGAGCATAGTGTTCGATAGAGATCCTCAATTTGTATCCTGATTCTAGCAAAAGTTACAAGAGACTTTAGACACTAAGTTGAATTTTAGTACAGCCTATCATCTCATGTATCATGGATTTTGGAGGAAGTTAGGGCCAGTATATAACATTAGTTGAGTTTGCTTATAACAACAGTTATCACGCTTCTATCCAAATGGCACCATATAAGGCGTTCTATGGATGAAGGTGCCATTCACCTATTCACTAGGATGAAGTCGGGGAGAGAAAAATTATAGATTTAACAACAATACCATGGATTGACGAAACATACAAAAAGAAAAAGGTAATTCGTCAGAGGTTTCAAATAGCCCAAAGTCAACAAAAGAGTTATGCCAGCTATCGAAGAAAATATTTGAAATTTGAAATTGGAGACAAAGTATTTCTTAAGGTCACTCAATTGAAAAGAAGAATCAAGGCGGGGAAAGGAAAGAAACTATAACCAAGATACATAGGTCCCTTCAATGTACTCCAACGGGTAGGAAATGTGGCATATCGATTAGAGTTACCAACAAGTTTATCTCGAATTCACGATGTCTTTCATGTGTCCTTACGTAAGAAATATCACCCACATCCGACTCATATACTTCAGCCAGAAGATATTGAACTTGAAGAGTCTCAAACCTATGAGGAGCGACCTATTCGGCTTCTAGATCAGAAGGTGAATGACTTGAAAAATAAGCAAATTCTGCTAGTTAAGATTCTGTGGAAACATTATGAGGTGGAAGAGGCAACCTAGGAGTTAGAGGCGGACATGCAAGAAAAATACCCTAAGTTATTTGCGAGTAAAGGTATGAATTTTGATGTCGAAATTCTTTTAAGGGGGAGAGAGTGTGAGAACTTGAAAACTATTTTATATTCTTCTTATAATTTTCCTTATTTCGTTATAAAAAAAACTAACCTATATTTTCTTTTAGACTAATTTACTTGCCTTCATTTCATAAATACTATTATGATTGAGTCGAGAGTTTTATCTTTTCTTTTATAATTTGGTGCATGTTAAGTTTCATAGTGCATTATGGTAGTGTGATCAATTATGGAGGTATGCAATAAATTTGGTGGATAAGAACGGTATAGTGTTAGAGGGATTATATGATTAGAAGTGTTAAGAGTATATTAGAGGAACATAAACTAGCAATTAGAGGCTAAGAGAGACAAAGAGATAGGAATGGAACTATGGGACGACAAGTGTCAACGCTTGAAGCTTCCTTTGACCAAGACTTTTTCTAGTTTTTATCTTGCAATTTTCATCAAAAATCCTCTAGTTTTCTCCTTCCTTTGGCCGAACCTATAGAGGAAAAAAAGAGAGAAACTACTCCCAAGTTCATCTTGATTTTGGCTTGATTTAGTAAGGTAATCAACAAGACACCTAAATCCAATCCGTGAAACGTAGTTTTGTGATAAAGAATTAGATTTTTGAAACAGATACAAAAAAGAATGAGGTTTGATAGCAGTTTTGTGATAAGCTCAAAGGGAAGAGCAGGGGGGCTGGCCCTATTCTAGAAAGATGAAGTGACTTTGCAGGAAGTTAATGGAACAGATTGGTACATAGAAGCTAGAGTGATAGACCAGGTAGATAACAGTCATTGGTGGCTAATTGGAGTTTATGCAAGCACTAACGAAGGTGTTAGGAAACAACAGTGGCAGTTTATTGAGGAGAAGAAGAGGGATTGGGATGAATCTTGGGTACTAGTGGGGGATTTTAATGATATATGCTCTAATAAGGAAAAATGGGGAGGGAGAGAGAGGTCAGAGGGAAGCTTTAGGCATTTCAACACATTTATCAAAGGGAATGATGTTGTGGACATAGGGTCTATAGGAGCGCCATGGACATGGAGTAATACCTGGGAGGGGCAGGGAGAAATAAGGGAGAGGTTGGATAGATGTTTGGGAAATGTGAGTTGGGTTCAGAAGTTTGAAAAAACAACATGTGAACATATTGAAAATGATGCTTTTGATCACTATCTTCTGATGCTGGACACAAATCCACAACACAAAAGAGTGAAGAGAAGGTTCTATTTTGATCAAAGATGGGCTAAGGATAAATAAACAGATGCAGTGATAAAAAAAGCCTGGGGTTTGGAACAATCTGGTTCAAGAATGTTCAGAGTTGTGGGGCGCATAAAGGAATGTAGATTAGCCCTGATTGAATGGAATAAGAGGGTGAAAGGTAATACAAGAGTAAAGATTCAAGAGATAAAAGAGAAACTGAAAGCTGTGAGAGAAGGAAGTGATTCAATCAGTAGAGGGGATCTAGCAAATTTGAAATGGCAGCTTAGCAAAGCCTACAAAGATGAGGAATTGTTTTGGAGTCAAAAGTCAAGAAGTAGATGGCTCAAAGAAGGGGACAAGAATACAGCATTTTTCCATATAAGTGTCATGACAAAAAGGAAAAGGAACATAATCAGCTTGTTACAAAAATTGAATGGGGATTGGTGCAGAAGTGAGCAAGAAATTGAAGAACTGTGTAATCATTATAGGGACCTCTTCACTACCTCAAATCCTAAAGAATTTGACAAGATCATGCAAGGGATACCTCGCACTAATTCCAGTTTAATGAATGAGCAGTTGATCAAACACGTAGAAGAGACTGAAATTCAGCAAGCTTTGTTCTCCGTGTTCCAAACAAAACCCCGGGTGTAGATGGTATGTCCCCACTTTTTTTTCAAAACTACTGGCACATTATGAACAAGGATATTGTTAAAGCTGTCGGTAGTTTCTTTCATAGTGGTAATCTGCTTAGAACTATCAATGAGACTATCATATCTTTGATTCCAAAAGTTGACAATCCAGTGGTTTTAACTAACTTTAGACCTATTAGCCTATGTACGGTGTTATACAAAATCATTTCAAAAATATTGGCTAATAGAATGAAAAGAGTTTTAAAACACTGTATCAATCCATCTCAATCTGCATTTGTTCCGGTAAGACAGATTCTAGATGATGTTATCATTGCTCATGAAATTTTACATTTCCTGAAAAACAAGAGAAATGGCAAAGTAGGCTTCATGACCCTAAAGCTTGACATGTCTAAAGCCTACGATAGGGTAGAATGGAAATTTCTTGGGAGATTGATGATGCAAATGGGATTCTGCCCTACATTTGTTAAATAGATCATGGCTTGTATTTCCACTATTTCTTATTCTTTCAATCTGAATGGACAAAAAGTAGGTCATATAATGCCTACTAGAGGGCTATGGCAAGGAGACCCTCTATCCCCTTATTTGTTTATTATCTGTGCTGAAGGGCTATCTAATTTAATCAAGAAAGCTGTGGAAGAAAAATATATAAATGGAATAAAAATATGTAAAGATAGCTCTATGGTATCCCACTTGTTCTTTGCAGATGATTCCCTTTTATGTTGTAAAGCGATAAGCAGGAAGCAATGAAGGTGAAGGAGATCATGCAGCAATATGGACAAGCTTCTGAACAAGTTGTTAACTTTGACAAATCAACAATGTATTTCAGCAGGAATACCCAAAACCAAGTAAGATTGGAGATCAGTGAAGCATTGGATGGTATAAGGGAGGCACACAGTGGGAAATACTTAGGCTTACCAATGGCTATAGAGAGATCGAAGAACCAGGTGTTTGGGTATCTCAAAAGCAAAATATCTAGCAAGATGCAAGGGTGGAAACAGAAAACTTTAAGTCAAAGGGGGAAAGAGGTCCTGATCAAATCAATGCTCATGGCAATGCCAACTTACATTATGTCTTGCTTTAAATTACCCAAAGAACTGTGCAAGGAGATAAGTGCTAGAATAGCCAGGTTCTGGTGGGGAAATGGGAACAAGGACAACAAGATTCACTGGATAAGTTGGGGAAGGCTCTCAAAAGTGAAAGGAAAAGGGAGATTGGGTTTTAGAGATTTAGAAGCTTTCAATCTGGCTTTGCTTGCAAAACAAATATGGAGATTAATTACAACTCCAAATTTGTTAGTAAGCAGGGTGCTGAAAGCTAAATACATGAGATAGGAAGGGTAGCTGGAGAAGAAACCCTCCAATTCTGCCTCTTGGTGTTGGAAAAACATCCATAAGGGAGATGGACTACTGCAGCAAGGACTATGGAAAAGAGTTGGAGATGGGAGGACAGTGAAAATCTGGCAGGATAAGTGGATCATTGGAAAGAACAATGGAAGAGCCTCAGGAATGAAACCTGCTGAATGTCAACTGAGGACTGTGAATGAACTGATAGAGGGTGGAAAATGGAATAGAACTTGTTTGCAGTAATGGTTCAGCGAACAGGAGGTTGAACATATTGTTAGTATACCACTTAGCCTATACAGCGGAAGAGATAGATTTTTCTGGACGCATACCAAATCTGGTGTGTATATAGTTAAGTCAGGATACGTTGCAGCAAAATTGAAGGGAGCTTACCAGAACAGAAGGATGGAATATGGATCAGAAACAAGCTGGGAAATTAGGAAACACACTGTATGGAAGAAATTATGGAGCCTTAATCTGAAGATGAAGCTGAAATACTTCCTGTGAAGGAGCTTGCAGAACAGCTTGCCAGTCAATGAAGCCATACATAAAAGAATTGGGAAAGGTAATAGTCTGTGTAGTTGCTGTGGAGAGGAAACTGAAACCACCGAGCACATGTTTTTCTTCTGCCAAAATGATATGGAAGATAGCTCCTGTTAGGTGGGAGGGGCTAACTGAGCTTCAAATCAACATATGGAGATTGTGGGATGCAGTGATGCAATCTGCTAACAAGGAGCAAGGACTTGACAGGATAAAGCTCACGGCCAATATATTATGGCAAATCTGGAAGGCACGCAACAGGATGGTATTCCACCTTGAGAGCACAGATACAAAGCAGGTTGTTGACAAAGCACAACTGGAGTGGATAGAGTATGAAAATGAAACTGATGCAAATGCAGGAAAACAAGTTACTCCAGAAATGGACCGGCAACAGCAACATTGCTGGGAACCACCAAAAGAAGGAGTGATCGAAATAAATACGGATGCAGCAATATCAGCCAGAATGGTAAGAACAAGTCAGGGGATAATAGCTAGGAACTGGCTTGGAAAGATCATAAAAGCCAAAGGAATCTCTGAATGCAAGCAAGGAGATGCAAGCAGAGAGGAATCACTAGCTATAAGAAGTGCTCTAGTAATGGCAAAAGATGCATGTTGGACTAATATAGAAGTTCAAACAGACAGCAAAGGAGTAGTGGACCAAATCAACACAGGCAATGTTCAGGACAGTAATATTGAAACAGTCCTGGAGGACATTGATGACCTCAGACAGGAATTCGATTGCTGCAAATTCTCTTTTGTTCCTAGGAAAGGAAATGGCTGCAGCCATGCTCTGGCACAGTTTGCTACCAAGTTAGTTAAGAATGTGGAATGGGAAAATACCTTCCCAATGTGGTTAATAGACCTAGTAAGGAAGGATATGGGGGTAGTTACCCCTTTTTGTAATTAGCTCTTGTATTATCAAGTGTTAATAGTTATAAAATGTTGACGTTTGTTGGAAAAAAAACTAGGAATGGTGACGATGAGTAGTAACGATTTTTTTTTTTTTTTGCTCAAGACACAAAACAAGATAAAACATGACACAAAACTCTAGAAACTTTAGAACAAGAATGACATAGACACAAACAAGAAACAAAAGACGATATAACTTTGATACCTTTCAACTAACTCTAATACTAGCTTATATGACCTGCACCATATTGTAGACGCAACCCACACACAACAAGCTACAGGATCTAGAATAGAGTATCAAAGTTTGGCAGCGGAAACTCAATTTGCACAAGGATAGCTCGAGTACGAATAAAGTGGTAGAACAATGCCACAATCTAGTGCGTTTCTAGATTGATAAGTCAGTTGAACACTTAGGACAATTCTAAGGTGCTCAAAAAAAACTCACGAAGAAGCCAAAGAGAAAACACTCAAGTGTTTATTGCTAGAAATTTCATCTAACCTTCATTACAAGGCAAAGAAATGGCTATTTACAACCAATACTACTAGTACTAAATGAATCCAAATAGAATTAGGATTACATCACTTATCCTATCCAGTGTATTGGACTTAAATCAACTAACAAACTAACGGCCCAAAAACATTCAAAACTGGCCAATTTATTCAAGTGGCTAAATGACTAAAACTTTTCAAACTAATCAGATCTAGCAAGACACAAGTATAGTCCAACTTTATTCAAAAGACATACAACTAAACAACACAACTAATTATCAAACAACTTATAACAAAAAGGGATAAAATGTGATCTGCCAAGTATGGACCTGTAGCTTGGCCAATCGAGCTAGGGTTCTCCAAGCGGATCATCACCAACATCTTAGACCTGAATTAGGGTTTTGCTTGACACGCTCTCAAACACAATTCCTTCAATGCATTTATGAATAGCTTGAGTGGCACCCAGATTCATATCACATAACATGGTAATCCTGCTTAGTTTAAAAAAAAAAAGAGAGAGGGAAAGAAAAAACAAAGAAAAGAAGAAGAAACAAACCAGTAACCTTAAAAAAAAAAGTAACCATATTAATCATGTCTTTGTCAGCAAGAATAAAAGCCAATTGGTTGTCTAAAGATGCAGGATTTCCCTTCCCTAAAACTGCCATAGAACTAGGCATGTCAATAAGTAGTGTCTAGGTTGGATCCCTTTGATCCAATCCAAACCCATTTAATTTAGTTAGACCCAAACTCAGATCCAGACCCTTTTGGGTCTGAAAAATTAAATTCATACCCAAACCTCTCATGGATCTGGGTATCCATGGGTATTTTCTGAACATACTAAAGTAAAAATGTATAGAGTTCATATTATAAATAATATAAATACCATCCAATTTTTGTTTTCAAATAATAGAAATAACGTTCAACAAGTTGAATGCAATATTATGAACTCAAAGAAAAAACTATTATTGACTACTTCTGTATATTTTCAAAGATTTAATTGCATCCACATCCAATCTTTCAGTTGTTTGCCTTTACCTTTTCTCCTTTTCCTGAAAAAGTTTGCACCAATTACAATGACAACTAGGATTAGTTTTATCATAACTTATATAAGTATTCAACATTATTAAAAAAAAATGCAATTTTGTACCTCTTTTTCTTATTTAAGTCTCGATATTTGTAGATATCTCGCAATCCAACCCTAAAATAGTGAATGAGATAAAAGTCATTTGACTAAGGACCGATAGCAAATAAACAATAGAATAAGAATATTTATAAATACTTACTCTTTTTTTTCTTTGATTCAATCCAATCATCTGTAATCATTAATGCTTCAACCACTTCTGGAAGTAATTTGGCACGAGTCTCATCAATCACTTTACCACCAACACTAAATACAAATTCTGATGCAACTGTAGTAGTCAGAACAACCAATATATCACATGCCATTTTTACCAAAATAGGGAATTTTGGACAATTAGCTTTCCACCATTCTAAATATCAAAATTGTCCTTTCTTGGAAACTTTGGCTCTTCCAACTATTGATCGAATTCTAATTTTTTATTTGCATGAAGGCTAGACGAGCGAGACTCAAAGTACCATTTATCAAAGTCACTCAATGTATCATTACTTGAATTACTTTTCGAAACACTTTCACTATTCCAAAGATCTAATGATGGTAAAAGTTCACCTCCGTAATCCATATAGAAATCAACAAAAGTAATACGAACCCGTTGAATATGTTTTTCAGCATTATGTCCATGAATTTGTCTATAATAATACTCCACCAAATCCATCTTAAACCTTGGATCAAGCACTACAGCTATTTGTGAGAACCCGTAATTTGCATTTTCTAAGTTTTCGCATTTTTCATGGCTTGTTTTCTGCACTTTCTGTATCCGGAAAATTTTCTAGATAAATTTTATGAGCAATTATAGTTTTTAGATAATTTTTCTAGTATTGGAGAGTTTTTAGAAAATTAAGAATATATATTGGACGTGGGACCCGCTAGTGCGAAAAGTTCGGAAAAATTCGGCCAATAAGGTTAAGTTTCGGATACTGTGTAAAATTTATCGGGTGTTAAGAGATAAGTAGAGAGTGAGATTGATTGATGTGAGAGGAAAAAGAAAGATAAGATTGCATTAATGTAGGTGACAAGTGTCACCACTACATTGGTTTTGACTTAAGAGTTACTATTCACTACTTTGACTTTTGACCAAAAATTGGTTAAATATCTCAAAAATGCACAAAAAATTACCATTTCTTACCTCTTGTTGGCCGAACCTCTTGTGCAAGGAAGGAAGAAGAAAATCTTCAAGTTCTAGCTACTACTTGGTGCAAATCACCCAAAAACATTTGCTTACATCCATTTCTACTCCATAAAAATCTTTCTAGTTGGTGATAGAGGTTGTTTGGTGAAGTTTTCTTGAAGAGCTAGGGTGGTCTACAACTCCTCTTCTCTTATTTCTTAGGTAAGTGATGATTAAACATTCTACTACACTTATTGATGCTTATATGGTGCTTAATGGGACCTAAAGTGATGGATTATGTGACTTGTTTCGTGATTTGAAGTGTTTTGGTGGAGTTTTCAATTTTATGATGAATTTTCTGGTTTCATATGATCTTGATGGTGTGGTTGTTTTTTATGGTTGGTAATAAGGGGCTTTAGCTCTAGTAGGTGCATATGATAGGAAATTGCAATCAATTTTGAATTTGGAAGAATTTCTGGAAAATTAGGGTTCTTGGTTGAACATTCTGTCCGAAATTTTAGGTCATAGATAGAGGCCGAATTGGACTTTGCTCAAAACATGAAAGTTGTAGGTATTGATGAGTTTGAAGTGCCTACAAAATTTCAGGGCATTTGGAGTAGTGTAGAGTGAGTTATGCCGTTTTTACTGTTGCTATTCTGGGTGAACAGAATGTACGAACTGCGATAGTAATTGTCTATTTTGACTGGCATTGGTTTGGATTTTGAAGTTGGTGTCTTCTGATGAAATGTATCTGGATGTCTTAGCTAGCTTATGCCTTTGGAATTTCGGCATTTGGACTTGTATAGACTGAGTTGTGTTCATTACAGTTTTGTGTGTTTTGTAAACCTGTTTTGGTAATTCTGGTTTAGTATTTGGCACATTTGACCTAGTTGTGCTAGGATTTGGACTGAGAGGCCTTCTAAATTGTTGTAGCCCTGTCTTTTAGCTTCGAGATGGTGGGTCTTACGCCCTCATCCGATAAGCGTAGCGCATTTTGTACCATTACCGCATACGGAGGCCAAACCTGTTTTTGTTGATTGATCAAATGAGTTATATTTTCTGATTTTCTGGTTTGCTATTATGCTTATATATGTATATGAAACCCTATTGGGGTTGTGATTGGCATGGCTTTATGATTCGTTATCGAGTCTCATTGTACTTGTTTGCAGGTTTTAAGGCTTACTCTTATTCCGGTCATTTCCTAGCTAACTTTTGTACTTGTATTGCTTTGAGCCTAGTGAACGGCTTTTGGGAAATGAGATGACTTTTGTGTGAGGTTTTGGGACTGATTTGAGGAAATCATGAAGCCTTAATGGCTGGAAAAGTACGAAATTTGGGGGAAATGCTGTCCGATTTTCTAGGCCGTTTGGTTCTTTAAGTTGGATTTGCCTTTTGATGGAAATGAAGGGCTTTTGGGTTGTTGACCCTAGGTCTTCATGTTATCTTTTGTTTCCAAGAAAATCATGTTTTTGCACCCTTGCATTAGTATTTTTGGGCAAGGCGTACGACGTGTAGTCGAGCCTCACTTGTGCATTCCGTTTACTCGATTTTGGATATGAAACCTTCAATTGGTTTATTTTGGCACATTTGACCTAGTTGTGCTAGGATTTGGACTGAGAGGCCTTCTACATTGTTGTAGCCCTGTCTTTTAGGTTCGAGATGATGGGTCTTACGCCCTCATCCGATAAGCGTAGCGCATTTTGTGCTATTACCGCATACGGAGGCCAAACCTGTTTTTGTTGATTGATCAAATGAGTTATATTTTCTGATTTTCTGGTTTGCTATTATGCTTATATATGTATATGAAACCCTATTGGGGTTGTGATTGGCATGGCTTTATGATTCGTTATCGAGTCTCATTGTACTTGTTTGCATGTTTTAAGGCTTACTCTTATTTCGGTCATTTCCTAGCTAACTTTTGTACTTGTATTGTTTTGAGCCTAGTGAACGGCTTTTGGGAAATGAGATGACTTTTGTGTGAGGTTTTGGGACTGATTTGAGGAAATCATGAAGCCTTAATGGCTGGAAAAGTAAGAAATTTGGGGGAAATGCTGTCCGATTTTCTAGGCCGTTTGGTTCTTTAAGTTGGATTTGCCTTTTGATGGAAATGAAGGGCTTTTGGGTTGTTGACCCTAGGTCTTCATGTTATCTTTTGTTTCCAAGAAAATCATGTTTTTGCACCCTTGCATTAGTATTTTTGGGCAAGGCGTACGACGTGTAGTCGAGCCTCACATGTGCATTCCGTTTACTCGATTTTGGATAT